TGATGAACTGTCTGTGACTCTTCAATCCTACTTGTAGTAATTCCCTTAATTACTACATCAAGAGCCTCCACTGCCAAATTAATCAAGATTCCTGACAATTTTCAAACTATTTCTGAATCTATCATGGAATATATACTTTTGCTTTTTATATTCCGTTATTTCTTACCCCAACAGAGCTTATCCTTGTCCTAAGCTTCAAAATAATCTCAATTTAAAGAGCTTTTGTGCTTGGATTCTCCAGCCTAAAGCAATCTTTTCATGAGTAGCTGTGTGAAGATACAGCTATTTCCCCAACATTACACAGAAAATAGAAACTACAGACACACAGAGAAGATAATGTGAAGACACAGGGAGAAGATGGCATCTCCATGCCAAGGAAAGGCCGCAGAAGAAACCAAACCTGATGACACCTTGATCTCAGCCTTCAAACCGCCAGAATTGTGAGAAAATAAATGTGTTATTACAGATACTCAGTTTGCAGAATTTTATTATATGGCAGTTCCAGCAAACAATACAGTTCCTACGTCACACCTGCTTAATATTTCCAGAACTCAGAGTTCAGTGACGGTCATGAACAGAGCACCCACGCCCTTTTAAGACTGTCAATGACATCTGTTCAAATAAATGTATGTTCCTATCTCACCAGGCAAGAACAAAAACTCATGTATTAATATGTAGAGAGTAAGTAGGAGGATGAAAATGTTTAAGTACATAAGTTTTATTCCCCTCGTCCTCTCCCCCAGAAGGTAAGATGCTCCCATGGGAAAACAGGCCTGCAGTGATTATCTGGTTCTGAGGCATACCAAAAGCACACCTCCCCTCACCCAGGCTAATGGTGTGTGTGCCCAGAGCAAGAGACATAACGGGGTCCAGAGAAGGGAGGAGGCATCCCCAGGACAGAATGAAGAAGAGAAGGCAAGGAAGAGTAAGATGAATGCTCAAAGGGCGAGGAGCTGGGGGCGGAATGATTCATACAGGGTGAGGCTGCAATTGTCTCCATGGGTAAAAAGCAGCAGGGAGCCCAGAAAAGATTTCCCTTCGTCGCCCCCCCCCAACTCCCTTTGTTAACAGCCAAACCTTAAAAGTGATGTGACAAGGGGGAAAAAAGGTAGAGATTAGAAAAGGGAAAAACAGACACTTTCCCTGTCCAACTTTCTTTTTAAATAATTTTTTCTTTTTCCAGTTCACTCTATTCCCACCGTTACAATATAAATATCCTATATAACAGGTACCCCCACTGCCTACCAACCACTTGTTTTTGGTCCAGAGAAAGGCAAGTGGTGCAACAAGGGGAAGCACACGTAAATGACCACAGGAGCTGACCATACTTTCACAGCACCATAAAATCATCAGCCAGTAAAATATTTGTTCATTGCTTGGAGGAGATAACTTTTGGGTTGTCTGCCACGTCCAAACCCTGGCTGCCCCTCCCGCCTAGAGGAGCACACCTCTGGAAAATGTCTGTGACCAGGGAGAAGAGTCTCTGTCTTAGGGGTCTGAACTACACTCACTACTCAGTCCTTGATAGCTAGTCAGTCTCCAATGGTTGTAAGAAACATCAGCCCAGCCAGTGTGGCTAAGTGGTTGAACGTTGACCCATGAACCAGGAGGTCATGGTTCGATTCCTGGTCAGGGCACATGCCTGTGTTGTGGGCTCGATCCCTAGTGGGGAGCATACAGAAGGCAGCCAATAATGATTCTCTCTCATCATTGATGTTTCTCTCTCTCCCTCTCCCTTCCTCTCTCTGAAATCAATAAAAACATTTAAAAAAAAGAAAAGAAACATTAGATGTTGGTTGCTTTGAGGGCTGAGGCTGGTTTGAGTGCCATAAGAGCAAAAATTTTGTCTTACATACACAGAAACAGAGAAAGGCGAACTAAGAGAAGGAGGTAGGAGAGGTATAGGGAGAAGCAGTGGTGAGAGACCACCTGACCCAGAAAAAGTAATCTTGGATCCCTATACAATGTCCACTTCTTTGTTTTGGTCCCTAAGATTCCTTATAAAAATTTGGGGTTTTTTCTTCTGTTTTGCATAAGCTGATAGGTTTGTATTTGCAACCAAGAGTCTTGATAAGCCGAAACCGGTTTGGCTCAGTGGATAGAGCGTCAGCCTGCGGACTGAAATGTCCCAGGTTCGATTCCGGTCAAGGGCATATACCTGGGTTGCGGGCACATCCCCAGTGGGAGATGTGCAGGAGGCAGCTGATCGATGTTTCTCTCTCATCGATGTTTCTAACTCTCTATCTCTCTCCCTTCCTCTCTGTAAAAAATCAATAAAATATATTTTTTTTAAAAAAGAGTCTTGATAAAATAGTGATCTGTAATTTATGAAGCACCTTCAGGTACTATCTCATTGGAGGCTGGCAATACCCTAGGAAAAAAAGAGGGAGGTCAGTTTTACTCTTGTTTCACTGCTTACAAAGCAGAGGCTTGGAGATATTGTGGACCCAATGAGCCAGCCTCCTGGGATGCATGCCCTTGTGACATCCCCTCCCATGTCAACTCTGGATTTGGCTTTGTGACTTCCTTTGGCCAATGGGACACTAGTAGACTCAGTGACAGAAGATGATGCTTAATAAACCCCTGCCTGTTGCAGCTTGTCTTCTAGCCACCACCCTAAAAGGATAGGTATCCAGGAGAGAGAAGACCCAAGGAGATGCTATGTGAGATGAGATATGAAGGAGATGCCACAAGTAGGAAAACTGGGACACCTCAGGCAAGCTCCCTTCCAGCTCCAGGCTGCCACAGTAATGACCTTGGCTAACAGAATAAATGAAAAGGATGTTAAGCAAATTCCCTTTTATCTGAAAGCTAATAAATAAAGCTGAATCCAGGTTTTCTGATTAAGTTCAGTGATTTATTCACTGCTCCAAGATGTGAAGAAAAAATAACTCAAAAATTTCATATACTTCACTTAAACAATAGAAAACTCAGCTGTGGAATTATCTTGTCAGCATATAAATGAAGTAAAAATATATGTATGTAAATGTAGTCAGGTAGGAGAGTGTTACTAAAATACTTAGCATGGTTACAGAATCTCTAAATGCTTTTCTCTTCTGTATTGAAAATTTTTTTTAAATATCAAAGGCAGAATATACAAAAATGCTTGGGGCAATATTATTTCTAATAGTGAAAAAATAAACAAAAAACCCACACTATTACCCAGTGATAGGAAAAAGGACAAATTATGGTATATTCATACAATAGTGTAAACAAGGGACTAAAGTTTCATACATCAACATGGATAAAGTTGAGTAGGAGAAAAAGTGAAAGAATACAAACAGCTTATCACTTATTAAAAACTTAGCAACAGATCTGTTTAGGAATACATATGTAATACAAGCAATAATGAAAGGCAAAATTCAAAATGGCAGGTTCTCTTGAATGGAAGAAAGCAGGATATACTTGGAGAAAGGCATGGTGAGGGCTCCAAAGACATTGGTCATATTTCATTTTTTAAGTTGAGTGGTAGATATAAATGTTTGTTTTATGATAACCTATACTTTATATGTGACAAACAGCTTTTGTATCTAAAATATATTTCAAAATGAAAACAGATTTTTAAAAAACCACCAAAAAACCTAATAAAGGAAAATTAGATCGTCTCCAGCAATATGTGCTTTATACCCACAAATCAACTTAACTCACAAATGCTCAATAATTTTATTTTACAATAAAAAGGGGCACACTTTTAAAAAAACACCACGTTTATACTGATTTTTAGAGAGAGAGGGACAGAGAGGGAGAGAGAAACATCGACATGAGAGAGAAACATTTATCAGTTGTCTCCCGCACATACCCCAACCAAGGATCACTAGGGATTGAACCCACAACCGGGGCAGGTGCCCTGATCAGGAATCGAACCTGCGACCTTTCGGTGCCACAGGACAATAATCAACTGAGCCATACTGGCCAGAGTAAAGGGCACACTTTTTACTCCTAATTACACAGCAATAATGGTAAAGCCGCCAAGAGCTCAAAACTCGTATTAAAATGGATACAAAAGGAAAAATAGATATTTAAGTATAATGCTTAAACTATTTCATTTAGTCATTTTCAGGATATTTTGCGACCCAACTATGTAACATCTATTTTTTCAGGAACAAAATTCCCTCTGATCCCAGGGCACAGGTGTCTGTCCTTCCAAGAGGGGGCCTGCTGAATTACCTAGACCAGCGGTCGGCAAACTGCGGCTTGTGAGCCACACACGGCTCTTTACCCCTCGAGTGTGGCTCTTCCACAAAATACCACATGCGGGCGCGCATGTACAGTGCAATTGAAACTTCGTGGCCCATGCTCAGAAGTCGATATTTTGTGGAAGAGCCACACTCAGGGGGCCAAAGAGCCGCATGTGGCTCGCGAGCCGCAGTTTGACAACCACTGACCTAGACCTTCCATCAATTTGTCTGCCCTGGATAGGGCCCCCGGAATGGACCACACCCCATACTAAGAAACCCACACTCTTCCCTGGCCAGTTAATTGTATCAGGAATGGACAGCTGACCCAAAGCCAACAACAGCCATGGTCTGCCACTGCCTATCTCTCTAGCCTTGTTCCTACTATCCTCTCCTTTGAAATCAGTGCAGTTGGGGGGCTATCTTTCCATAAGAGCACCTACCACCATTATCAAATAATTATATGTTTGTTTCAGTGATTATTCACCGATGTCTGTTTTCTCTCCTAAACTAGAAGCTCCACAAAGGTGGGAATGGGTCAGGTTTTGCTCACCACTGCGTTCTACCAACTAGCACAATTCCTGACACATGCTAGGCATTTGATAAGTGTTGAGTTTTAAGAGGAAGAAAGGGTTGTAATATTATACCTCCTTTTTCTCTAGTTTTATTTCATGAAACTTATATGGCAATATACCCACTTTGGGCAGACCCAAAATTAAGGCAAAGGAATCAAAGCCATAACAAAATCTACATTTATCATCAAAGAAAAAAATGTCAAAATGCCACAAAAAATTTGACAAGTTTAAGGAGTTTACAGAAACATACCTGAATGAAGCTGAATTTTCCCAATAACACCTTCTACCAAACCCAAGCAAATGGGATTCCAGGCAAGAAGTAGGTCAGTAGCTAAAATAAAATAAGAAACAATCATGAGAAAATATTCATCAGAAAACAAATTAAAACAGTGTATTAAAAGTAGTATATTAAAATATGATCAATGTCCAAAAAGAGCAGTTATGAACACCCAGAATCTATACATTACTATCAAGCAATTTTTGAAAAAGCGTTAAATCAAAGCCTGAGAAAGGCTTCTGTCAATAAGGACAGTTATGGGGAAAGAACTGACATTCTGAAACTCTGCTCAGTTGGAGGCAGTACTCTGGCGCCCTTCAGTGGGGGAAAGAGGCTGGTACACTACAAGACAACAGATGCCGGCAGTCTATAGTCATAGCTAGTCCCAAATCCAAAGACAAGGCCTGAGAAACTGCCATATAGAGATGTCCACTTACTGGATCTCAGTCTGGAAAATGCCCTTTCCCCAAGAATCATACACCAAGCAAAGAAATCCAGAAAGCCAGGGCTCTTTTATGGGACTTCTAGGGCAAAAATAATAGGAACAAGTACCGAGTGCCTGGTGTGCGCCAGGCATCCTCATCTCAGGCTTCCTCATCTCAGCCATAAAACAATGATGTGGGTGACTGTTTTCTCAATTCTCACAAATAACTTATGCCATTCTACACACATAGGAGACAAGTTAATTCATTACACACATTGGCTGCCTGAGGACATTAGAGCTTAATTCTCTTGTGGAACCCAGGTTGTAAAAGGCTGTGAAATACATGGATATAAATGTAACATTAATGGTAGTTCAATAGGTTGCAGGTTCAATCCCTGGCCCCAGTTGTGGTGTGTGTGGGAGGCAACCAATCAATGTGTCTCTCACATCAATGTTCTTCCTCCCCTCTTTTCCCTTTCTCTCTCTCTTTCTTTCTCTCACTCTCTCTCTCTCTCTCTCTCTCTCTCTCTCTCTCCCCTCTCCCCTCACATCCTCCCTCCCTCCCTTCCACTCTCTAAAAATCAATGGGAAAAATATCCTCAGGTGAGAATTAAAAACTAGAAAAACTGAAACAATAACCAAGTTTTGTGGTATAAAGACTAAAAATAATAGTTACTGATAATCTTTGAGGTTCAAAATGAGAACCAGTTAAACCCATTAAGACTGAATTCATGGTGGGATGATCAAGGACAAATGTCTAGCTGTAAGAACCAGAGATATGAAAGGAGGACAAGAAAACAGAAGATGACGACATTAAAATTCCAGGTGTAAAAGTTAACCTTTGAAAAGGAAGGATACCACTTTTTTCTAAGTCTAGAAGCAAAGATGAAAGACTAAATATAGAAATGGAGAAGAAAAGCAGATGATGTATTGGATGGCCTTGATTCAGTAAAAATAGGAGTCAAGTCAACTTTGCTTTAGCAGGGGGAAGGACAGAGAGGAACAGAGAGGCAGCGGAGGCTTGGTGTGGTGAAGAGACTTCAGAAAGTCAATTTGTGAATGTTCTGTGTGTGTTCAAAAGCATGCATATTTTTAACTTAGTGTTTTTAAAGAAAAAGGGTATCAATCCATTAGTGGATCATGAAATCAATTTTGTATGAAATTAGTATTAACAGCAATACAACAGAATAGAGCAGAAAACAGAAAAACTGTACCATGTAGGGAAATATTTTATGAAACTTTTGTTTCTGGTACATACATATGTGTTCAACAGGTCATGATTTTTAAAATATTTCTTACTATGGATCTGAAACATTTGAACACACTATTTAATTTTGGGGCTAGGGCTCATTATATCAACTTGGTTGATTATTTTGTTCAACTCCTCTATGTATTTGCTAATTTCCTTGACTGCTAAGCCTAATAGGTTGTTGTTGTTTACTTTTAACTCTCATGTTTTCTGTTTTTTTTTCCATTTTTCTTTCTTAAGCTTTGTTTTACACTTGAGACTATGTTCAGGATTACTGTATCTTCCTGGTGAACTGCTCTATCAGGATGTATTAACTGCCCTTTTTTCAAATGTTCTTTGCCCCAAAGTCTAGCTTGCCTACCATTATTATTGTGAAGGAAATACATTAGGTATTAAAAGGGATAAATATGAACATTGCTAATCCAATTGTATTACTTCTATTCCCCACAGCTTTAAAAACTAAGTCCAAATTCCTCAGAAAGGCTTGTAAGGCCCTGCATGGGCGGGTCCTGTGCACCTCCTCCTGCCTCCCCACGCCCAGCATCCTGGTCTTTCTGCAGTCATCCCCAAGTGTGCACAGGCTGTGTGTGGAATGCTGCTCCCCACCCACTTCGGCCTGCTCTTCACTCCAGACTCAGAGCAAGGGTCACTGGTGTTCGCTGACACATTCCCCTCTCCACCCTCCCAGCAGAACGGAGCAGGATCTCTTCTGTGACTCCCCTGAACCTTGCTCAGATTTCCATCACAGCAACTTATTTTGGCTTAATGCACCTAACTATTGACTTGTCTGTCTCTCTGACTGAGCAGGAAGCTCATCAAGAACAGGAAGCTCATAAGACCTACTCTCATTTAGCTTTATATCCTCAGTGCCTGGTACACAGCAGGCTCCAAAATGCTAAGTAGACAAATGAACGTATGACACAGAATGGAGTGGCAAGTTAAAGTCAGATAATTTGCTGTGAATTGTGTTAGAAAGGCTCACTATTTAAAGTGGCAAAGTTAAAGTCCTCTGTTCTACTTCAGGTAAAGGCTTCAGGGCTGGCAGAGACACAGGGACTGTCCAATACCACATAGCTTGTCAAAATCAAAACACCATTTCCCGTTCTCAGTCCAGGGCTCTTTCTAACACCATAAGTTTCCCTACCAAATGTTCTCAGGTATAATATTCTCATTTTATTTTTGTATGGGACTTCCAGCTTACCATCATTCCAGCTGCACAAGCAGGATGTGGGTGACATCCAAAATGCTTTTCTTCCTCACAGAGTCCTATTGATTCTATCCCCTCAATATCTGATGGATGCTTTTCTCTCCATCCCACTGCCACTATCTTTGCCCAGGGTCTAGACCTCCCCCATCTGGATCATTAAAAAGCTCTTGTCTGCTCTATATCTAGCAGGCTGCTTAATACATAAAAGGCATTCAAATATGCATCGAATGCAATGAGGACTCCAGACAGTTTGGTTCTGCAGGACCCTAACGTAAAAGGTAGGGAGCTGCAAGAACACGGCTGAAGAACTACACCGGGACCCATTCAGGAGGACAACAGAGTGAGTTCAGGGCTGTTTCCTCCAGACAGGGCAGATTTGCATTTGAGATTGAACATCAGGGTCAGTGTGTAGAGGATGAACATGAGAGGGCAGGCCTAAAGCCAGAGATCCAGATAAGCGTGTGTACAAGGACAGCCTCGAGCTGACTCTGGAACTGGAAGCCTGGACAGAGTCTAGAGGTGTAGGCATGATGTGGGCACAGCCTGAATACGGTGTCCCAGGTAAAGAGTCCTGGCTCTACTACTGTCTCTGAAGACCTCTCAGTTCTATTTTCTCTTGTGTAAATGGGAATTTCAACTAACTTATAGGGTTTTTATAAGGATCAAATGAGAGAATTATATGAAAGTGTCCAGCACAATGTCTGGCACATAAATGTTCAGTAACTTTTAGCTCAAGTTAGGAAATGTATATACATTTAAAATTCTAGGTTCTTACCACTCAGTAAATCTCTCCATAGATTTTTATTTCAAGGATCTACGTACAGCTTTAAAAAAAAAAAAAAAAAAAAAAAACTAAAAAGAAAAACTTCAATTTTTTTACTTATTAAATCTTATGGTAATGCCATGATTCCTGAAAGCCTCCTCGAAGTAAAAATTTTTAATGAAAATCTCAATATCTAGATATGTCCCCAAAATTGTTTTCTCTAATATGAAACAGATCCACAGCTCTGATACAGCTCAAAACTAGGCATCCAGTCTTAGTCCCAGCAACCCAGTTCAGGTTCAGATCCAAATGGCAAATCAAGCATGACTGCCAGCTTCCTCCCCTCTAAATCCCCCACACACAGGGGTGGCGGGGGGTGGAATCTAGAAGTATAGGCTAAAGGGAGGTAAAATTATGCCTGGGAAAAAGACATGGATATTGGTAAATTTTAGTTATGTATGTGAAAATAAATACTGGGTTTTAAGAAACCATAGAAAAATATAAGTAGAATATGTAACTTTTTTTTTTAAAATATATTTTATTGATTTTTTACAGAGAGGAAGGGAGAGAGATAGAGAGTTAGAAACATCGATGAGAGAGAAACATCGATCAGCTGCCTCCTGCACATCTCCCACTGGGGATGTGCCTGCAACCCAGGTACATGCCCTTGACCGGAATCGAACCTGGGACCCTTCAGTCCGCAGGCCGACGCTCCATCCACTGAGCCAAACCGGTTTCGGCAAAATATGTAACTTTTGATCAGCAATAGAGAGGCACCTAACAAATATTTGAGATATCCAAAGGAAGACAGGAAAGGTGATAGAATAAAAAGAAAAAGCACAATAAATGGAAAACAAGGGTACACAAGAGATAACTCCTAATATATTAAAATAAATGTAAAGTTTCAACTAACCAATTAAAAAGACAGACTATTACTAAGTCTCAACCCTTCTATCAGTTTATTTAATTCTATGCCTACTTTGTTTCCTACTATATACCTGAGGTCTAGGACAGTGTTTGATGCATAGCAGGCATTCATTCAATAGTTATTGAACCAAATGAATCAATAAATGAGTAAAAGCAAGCATGAAAAATGGACTTCTACCAATTGCTTATTTTCACTGACTTTTAATAGGGCTACCAACTTAAATTGTTATTGTTTTTAAAGGAAGTCCTAAAACAACAATCTCTGCTATACAAGCATTTTTAATAAAAGCATTTATCTTTCAATAAATATAATAAATGATGAGCATGTGATTTCTCACAATGAAAGACTTATCTAAACATTCAAGGGAAATGATCTTAAAATCTATAGCTGGTGCCCATGGTTTCTCATACCAATATAGAGACAAGTGACACAAAACAATAGAGGAAGGCCTGAAGCAGGCAATATAACTGGCACAAGAAAAGA